TAACTTTTTTCGAATAAAATTCGATCAAAATGGATTAAAAATCTTATAAGTTGTCTAAATTTGCCATGATACTTGATTATATAGACAACATTTTAGTCGAAAAAAAAATCCTTTATAATCGGTTTTTATCCATGAAAGTTCAGTGCGGGTACGGTATGGCAGAAAACTAAAAACAATTTTAATGCTTTTTTAATTTGTATGAAATTTATGGACCATAAAAAAGACCCCAAGGTTTCGAGATCTGACTTGAGTTTTTTGAAATTGGAAAAAATTCCCCCCATTCGAGGAAACTCCAAATCCCCGCTGAATCTGTCTTTTTATTTGGGGTTCAAATTAAGATAAAAGTCCCTCGTGTCAATATAGTTGCATCTATTTATTTATTTGAGAAATTAAAAAAATTACATCGTTTATATTTACAATTCTTACAAAGAATACTTATCAATTTTATTTTTATTTCACGCCATGATAGTTTTGAACTTTACAATTTTTTTATAGTGTTTCCAAATGAGCATTGAAGAATTCACAATATAAATTTTTTATTTCAGAAGTTTGAAGAAAAGTGTGCGGATTGTATCCAAAAGCCATAAAATCGATCCAATACTTCCACGCAAATTTTTCATAATCTGTTTGTCTAACTGATTGTAGATGAGCTCTCTGGGTTGATATTTTGTCTCCTTTATTCTCCAACCAGTTTGGTTCTTATTTTCCAAAGAAAAGTCAATTTTTTCGTGAAGAGATGTTTTGTGGTTTACGATAATGTCGACATCCCTTAGTATTGTTTCCGTTCGTCCTAGGTAGCTAATGTTCAGTTTGCAAGGATCACAAAGAGACATTTGTGGTACGAAATGAAAATTCCTTTCGTTTTCCTCGGCTAAATGCTTGAAATAAGTACTTAGTGTGAAATTTCGTCCTCTTAACAACAAATTTGTTGCCACTTTATTGTAATAGGCTGAAATAGCACGTTCAAATGGGTCTCGGACGAACATAAACCCAAATGGATAATCTATTTTTGGGATCTTGTTAACTTTACCCCTTTAGTAAAAAGGAGCAGGGAAATTCGTTCGATGGTACCCTAGTCAATTAAGGAAAGTTATCTTACAAGATCTTGCAAGATTATTGATAATGAGTTTTTGCAAGATAGGCGTTATCTTGTAAGAACCTTGAAATAGGGAGGTTATATTGCAAGAATCTTGCAATATTCTTGGAATATCTTGTAAGAAAAACAATTTGAAATGTTGTCAAAAAAACGAGATAACAGAATATATGCATATGATCAAAACAGAGACCAGTTTGGATTGAGTAACTAAATTAATTTCGATATTTAACTTCATCTTAATCGGCTCAATGAAGTTTCTTATTTTTTCCTTACAGCATTGGCATTAGTATCTGGTTTACTATTGAATTATTTTTATAGTTGAAACAAGTCGCCACTAGGTGGCATAGAGGGAAGGCGGAGGGAGGGGGGAGTTATCAAGATCCCTGTTCTGTTCTGTCTCGAAAGTCGACTAGGAATGCTGTGCGGCACAAGTGTATCATTCATGTGATGATAGAAGGGTCTGACAGGAGTGGTGTTTCCGTGGTAGAACGGCCAGTACATATTGTAACTTCGAGTCGAAGTACCTGAAAAAACACAAAGACTCATCAGTTAATCAATAGTTGATATCGTTGAAAGGCGGATCTTCGAGAGTTTTGGCTACCCTGGTTGGCATCTAAGAACCAAAAAAAGCCTGTTTTAAAAATCCATACAATTTGTCTATGAAAAAGTGAAGGTCATACAGTTTCAGCGTTTTTGCCTGGCATTTGTTGAGACAAATAGAATTTCTCAATATAAACTAACCTAATGAGTTAGAACCGAAGTGTAACTCATAGAGTAATTTCGGATAGGGTACACCGTCTGCTCGTCACGCTATCTTATTTTCGGCCGGATAGATTCGTGCAACTTCTTAGTCTAATACCGATCCTAATCTTACTCTTATACTATCTAGTCTCAGGTTGTTTAACTAGTCTCTGCTAGGCTCAATAGATCTAGGGTATACTGGTTTATTGCGGCTGCTGAAGTGCTCGGGAGAGTCCAACTAATTTCTAAGTTAAATTCAAATCTCTCTGGTGCTGAAATTACAAGTAACTTCAGCACTTACAAATAAGTGGGTTGTTAGTCAGATGGATCATGATTGGTTAATATTAAATACTTTACATTGGTAAAACATTTAATTTATCCAATCATAAAATGTAGTTTAGATCAGGTTCCACCCATCCGGGTTTTACAGAGTTTTTTAGAATAGTTCTTTTGCAATTCGAAGGATGGATGATGGAAGTTGGTGTTTGGCGAACATCTTATTTCTTCTGTTTCCTTTTTGTTAAAGAAGTTCCAGGAAGCTGGAGTTAGAGACATAAGACGTTGTGTCTTCTAGTGACAACGACTAAGTCTTCGCAACAAACTCAAATCTGATTTCAGAATGGTTGGCTATGTCAGGTTTTTCTGTTCTGCGTGGAGAACTTCTTTTGTGTCTGATCTAGTTTGGGAATGGCGTGGAGATTGTGCGTGGAGGGGATGCCTGGTTACTCGGATCTGTACGTATACTTGAACATCGAGGTGGTCATTGGTCTAGTTCAATGAAGTCCTTTTCTGCGAGGTCAAGTCGTACTCTAAATCCTTTAAGTTGTGATTGTGAGCGGCATATCGATTGTAGTTGGTCATTCTCTCTCGAGTGTAGTGGGGTCGTCTTGTCTTTTGATGTTCGTCCTTGGTGTTGTATTCTGATCTATATATTGCATCATGTGATTTTACATTTTATAAAACTTTTATTAGTTTAATATTTTTTTAATAATGATTTTAGTTAGTTGTTTTCACAAAAGCTTTTTGTTTTAGTTCGGTTATTTTGAAGAGTTACTCACACTTGAGTAGCTCTTATTAAAAATAGTGGTGTGGTCACAAAGCGTGGATGTAGCGCGGTGGGTTAGGCCGGCTATAGAGCATGCTCAGGACGTCCTTCCTGGTGGGTTAGGCCAGGAGTGGGAGTATGATTTCATGCGGTTTTTTGTGAGGGGTCCTGTTATGTGACAACGTTTTATGTTGGGTTTGTTGTGGTTTTTCTTATGTTTTGTTGGTTGTGTCCTTTTTTCAAAAATCAAATTGTTTGTGGTATGGGTTTGTCTTTCGACTTTTTTGTGTTTTATTATTTCTTTCTTAGACTTTATAATAGTCTTCAAAAGAATAAATTATCCAGTTTTAAACTGGGTTAATCCGGTTTGGGTACCGTTGGTTTCCTTTTCTAAGTCATGCTGTTATTCTATCATTTGTGGTATTTAGTAAGCTGCGTTGGTTAGTTTTGTTTAGTATATGATTCCTTTCCAACCGGGTTAAAGGAAAGTTTGAAACATGTTATTATATGTTAGAGTTGTTGAGTGTGAAAACTTGAAACTGAAATTCATTATTTTAAACAATTCTTCGTGGGCGAGCTGTGCGAGTGTGGATAGAATTTCTGTGCGAATGAATGAAAATATCAAAAGGTTAGTACTGCATTTGCATTTATTTAATTTACTACATAGAATTTAGAAATTTACTGCTAGTCATGGGGGAATATTAAGATACAAATTTTCATCATAATTAGATTTACTGCTTGTGGGGGAAAATTTTAGAAATGAATTTACTGCATTGGTATTAAATTTATAAATTTAAAAGTGTAAGAGATTAATAAAATTTTTGAAATCTGTTTGATGAAATTTGCGATTTTTATTTGTCTTTTGTGGTTTTTGTAGGTGATCGTCGGATGAAGGCTAAAAATCTAAAGAAAACATGAATAAAGTATGGTGAGTTTTTTAATATTTTAATTAGTTAGTAATATTCATTTAATTCATACTTACCTGTTAGTCGTCGGGGAAAAAACCGTGGGGGAAGATGTCGTGAATTAGTTCTGAAGTTGTTAGTAGTTTAGCTAAGATGCGGATGATATTTTTAGTTTGAAGCAGTGGCCAAAGCAATTGAAGTGCCTTAATAGTGGTTAGTTCTTCAGTGCCAACTGCAAACTCATAAGGTGTGTTTTGGATTAGATTATATAATTTGTGATTGAATTTAGTGTTGTGGATGAATTCTAAAATTGGGATTTCTATAGGTTGTACAAACTCGTGCGGGATAAGGAAGGGTCGGGATTCTTCGGCGTTGAAGGTCTTGGTGATGGGACAGAAGATGTACATTTGGGTTATGGGGTCATAATTACGATGAATACCATGAAGGTTAGTATCTTTAATACAATATGTGAAATTTAGGAAAAATGGTGAAGTGTATTTAGAATTTATGAATTGAAAACGATGGTGTGGTTGTCTAGAGGGTGTGTGTAGGTCAAAGTGATTTTGGATGAAGCGATAATAACTATATGTGTGGGTTTGTTTAGTGCGCAACATAATATCGTGTGAGCAGTGTAAATCTCTTTCGTGTGGTGCAAGAAAATGAAAGGTTAGTGAAAATATTTGGAAGCGTTCTTTAAAACTTTCGTATGCTTGTGTGTCTGTTAGTGCTTCTGAAATAATGTGATCAAACTTTCGGTCGAAGATGTTTAGTGTGAATGTATATGGTGTCTTGATGAAAAATTTCTCGGTAATTTGTGGATTAGCGAAGCGATCGTCGTCTAAGAATTGATCTTGGTTAGCTCTGATGATGTTGTGATCATAGTATTCGAGTGTATATTCGTTAGCTCTAGGTGCAGTGTGTGTTTTTAGTGATTTTTTATATCCAACGTAAGTAAATTGTCTAGGTGTTAGTGGTGTAGTGAGTCGATATAGCATGTCCGTATTTCGTTCTATATCAATGTGAGTGTTAGATAATGGTAAGCAAAGAGGGTTAGTAAAATGATAATATGAGGTCCAAGAGAGAGTGGGCATTAAAACGTATTCATCTACAAAGTTGCGTGTTTCGTTAGTGTCGTGGGGGGTGTTTAAGGTGTATTGTGGGAATGAGGGTAAGGTGATGGCTAAAAATTCTTTTGTGTTAGTATGCTTGGGGTGGTTGATGTATTCACGGGCTGTTCCTGGTTTTGCTGGGAAAGGATGGTTGGGGAACTTTCTTTTAAAAGTGCGGTAAGCTCTATTAGTGTTGAGTGAAGATTCAGTTGATGTGGATGATGGTGCTAATGATTCAGTATAATTTGAAGAGGGTGTAGGGGTAGGGGGGTTGGATGAATTTATTGTGGAGGAGATTTGGTTTATGGTTGGGGTATTAAGGTGGTAGGGTTGTTGTTGAAGGGTAATAAAATTATCTAGCTCTGGGGAGATTCGGGGGGTGTCTGGAGAATGAGATGATTGGTCAGAATGGTATGAGGAGTAGGTTGGGGTAACTTGGGAAGCATAAGAGGGTGTGGGAGTAATTGGGTCAGGGTTATTGGATAATATGGGTTGAAAAGGGGGTTGAGAAAAATTAGAAGAGTTATGAAAATTAATAGATGGGGATGGTTCTGAGTCGGCAAATTCATCGGGGGTTTCAATATTCGGGTTATTGAGTTGTGAGATGGAATATAAAACTGAGATGTGTGAGTTAGTGTCGGAATTCATGCCTGATGTTACATTACTAGATGGAAAATCGGGTGGCGGAAAAGCAAAAAGTGGTATTATTGGGATTGGGGAGGTAAGATTGGTTGGGTGGGAATTTGATCGGTGTAGTGATCCAAGTTGGCGGCTCATCGTGGGCTAAAAAAATGATTATTTTGAGACTGAAAAGCGGTGGTATGGGGTTGTTCAATAATTTGTTCATAAGTATTATCATCTTGTGACTGGTGTGTCATTATATGTTGGATGGGACTTTGTGATGTGGTGAGTCGAAAATTTGGATTATGTGTTATTGCTAAGTTTCGAAAATTTCGTGGGACTAGGGATAGTGGATGGTTATTTGGTAGGGGTGGTAATTGTGGTGCCGTTGGCGTTATGTCTACATTGTTATGTTCTTCGTCGTATGTATTTTGTCGTGTTGTTATTTTTGTGTTATATTCTTTTATTTGTGCGTCTAAAAGAATTTTGTTTATAGATGTAGAAAAGATTCCAAAAAATCCTGCAAAGAGTATGCGTGCTACGCTTGCTTGTCTGTTTACTTGTGTGTGTATAGCACATGTGTTGTAGATTCCTTTTAAAAGTGAGAAAAGAAATCCAATAAAGTTAAACATTGCGTATAAAATAGTCAATTTTTCTAAGATGTAGTAGGGCCATCCTAGAAAATCGAGGATCTCATTTTTGAGTGTAACAAAGCTAAAAATGTTAATTGGTGATATATCTTGGGGACGGTATTTTTCACCGTTTAGATATATATAATCTTTAATGTCTTTAAAATATCCGCTATAGTCTTGCGTGTAGATATCGGCAAATCCTGCGGTTTCTGCAAGTTTGCGTAAATTTTGGTCTATTGATTGTCTTTGTATAGTGTCCATTTGTGTTAATAATTCTTGGAATTGTTGTGTTCTAATGTGATGTTGAATATCTGATTTTGAATAGATTCCTATTGATTGTAAGTCTATATTTGGGTTTCGAGCAATAGCGCGAATGCTTTCTGGTGAAATTTTTTTGAGTGATTGCATTAATGTGGGATATGGAGTGAGAAGATAATATTTATTTTCATCAGGGTTTAGTTGTACTACATT